ACAGCAACTCGGCCCCCGGCTCAAAAAGGTTGCCTACCCCTGTTTTAAAATGTCTCAGTTGGACATCCCCAGTGATTGAAGCACATGACCATTGACTGTAGCTCTGTAGCCAGCTAGGGACTTATTAATAATATTCTTGGCATATTTCCATGTAGCCTCTTCCAGACCAAAATGGATTTTGGGGTCAAGCTGTCAAGGTAATGCTAGTTAAATGCATAATGCACAATAAACATATCCAGCTAGCCAGTTTATCTGACATTTCTTTAGAACAAGATAGAGCCAGTGTGGTGGCATAGTGATTTGTGTGTTGGATTATGACTCTGGAGACCAGAGTTCGATTCTCCACTTGGCCATGAAATCCAATAGATGATCTTGGGCAAGTCACTCACTCTCAGCTTCAATAGCAAACCTCCTCAATGGAAGGCAATGGCAAACCTCCTCTTGCCAAATCTTGCCAAGAAAACCACTTAGGATTGCTGTAAGTTGGAAACAAAGTCACACAACAACAACAATAACAACAACAGGGTGAGTTTGCATGCAAAGGTGAGAATTTATTGGAGATCTCTCTCTCTCTCTAATTTTAACAAAACATGCATATGCACACAAGTCATGCATAAAATAAACACATCAAGTAGAAATACCATGCAGTACTAACACAAACAAAAACAGTTTTCCCACTCCCTATTACAATTACAGACATTCTAAAACTGACCCCTCCCACCCTCCAAGCCAAATACATAAGTATATACACCTTTATGTACCTTTTCTCATTTCCCCTTTTTCTATGTTTACATGTAGAAACCAATCAATAAACCAATAAAGCTCGATACTCAAATTCCACAAACATATTTATCCCTTCTTTCCTCCTGAAGAATGCGACAAATGGGTCCCAAGCTTTCAAAAAGTTATCCTATGTCTTATCTCTCATGAAGATAGACAACTTATCCATTCCAGCCATTACTACAGTCCTCAATATCCATTTGTCTTTACATAGAATCTCTGGATTCTTCCGATATTTTGCATACAGCACATTCTATGAGAATTTGTTAGAATTTTGTTGCTGTTGTATTCCTTCAAGTTGTTTCTGACTTATGGTGACCCTAAGGTGAACAAATGAGGCTATCAACTGATACATGCATGGTCAGTACTTTAAAAAGTGAGAGCGACCAAACAACTCACAGACATCCCATCCATGATCTTGCTCATGATGCTTACACCTAGCACTCAAGTTTATCTCCCCCCAAACAATATCTACCCAATAAAATTTGTCATGTATGAAACACACAACAACAAACAACATGAAGCCTAACTTTGAGTTTTATAACTCACAGTTTGAGGATCCCCCCCTATTCTCTAATCCAATACTACACTTGTAGAAGGGTCAACAAATTCTTTTCGGCTGATCTACTTTTGCCTCCACGGTTCTGTGGTGATGAAAACATGATGCATGTCTTTAGAACATATCAACACAGCAAGCACACTTGCTTATTATAACTACTGTACGTTTGTACGTCATGAAATGCACGCACACACAGGCAAAATGCACAGTTCTATTATAGTGGTGTGCATTATGCATTGATTTACAATCATATACCATTGTGCTGTTCTACATTTTAATTTCTTTAAAAAAGATGGGCACAAAAGTTAGCCATAAGTACTTTTCTTCTCTCATTATTCATGTACATTTGGAGGAATGGCTATAGATCTCTCTGTGCATGTCTCTAAATACACTGTTGTAGTAATACATATCCTGTTTAGGCACAGGGTAGGTATACACTGGAGATGAAGGAAGCACTGCTATACAGACTATATTGTGTCTGTGTTTTGGCTTCATGTTCACATACATTTCTTAATTAAAGTGTAAAAGAATTCATATTCGCTTAGACTTTGTGTGTGTGCATGTGTGTGTGTATATACACACAGTACTGGTTCCGTTTGAGACCTTTTGACAGGAATAATAAATTCTGCATTGAGGCTATATAGATTATTTCCAGTTGACATGGAAACAATCTCTATTGCTTTGCAAAATGGAGACAGCTTGACACAATTTTTTTAAAAGTACTGTCTGTGTGCTTGCATTCACATTGTTGTGCTAGTGGCAAGTTGGGTTATCCCAACCTCAATTACTCATGGTGCTTTCAGAAATGCCTAGAACACCATCATCCTATGGTAAGAGTAAGCCTTCCTGAAGGGGATGGATATTGTGTAGTAATCCATGTACATTTGGAGGAATGGATACAGATCTCATTGTGCATATCCCTAAATACAACATTTAGAAATACATATCCCATATAGGCATAGGGTAGGTATACACTGGAGATAAAGGAAGCACTGCTATACAGAGTATATCTTACCTGTGTTTTAGCTTCATGTTCATATACATTTCTTAATTAAAGTATAAAACAATCCACATTCACATGGACTTTGTGTGTGTGTGTATATACACAGTTGTTGTTGTTGTTTTTTGCAATTAAAGTACTAATCTCAGTTAAAATGTAAAATGGGCTTGGAAAGACTACTGTTGGAAGTGAAAGACAAGGTCTAGGACCTGGGGACTTGGCCACCCTTCAAGTATATCATGCACTATCCAAATCTCATGGCTATTCTGGTATTCTTTTAAATGTAATGACTATCCCAAAGTTGCCTTTCACCACATTGCTAGAGTGATCTCTAGCACCATGCCAGGCTGTCTGAATCATTTGAAGATACTGTACTAACTGTGCTTCACACCAGCCTTTGATCATTCAGACAGTGCAGGATAATCACATGTGAATACTCATATTTTGGGATTTCTGTCCATTTCATTGTGTATGATATTTACAGGAGCTTTCACTGTGTACTGGAGTTAGGATCCATCCAGCTGACTTTGAAAGGCCTGCCCTGTATAATATTTTGCCATGGAGAGCCAATGAAATTAGCAGAGTCTTGTGGAAATTTAAAAACTATCAGTTTCCTTGTACCCTAAGTGCAATTAAATATGAAATAACCATGGAATATATGAACAGATCTTGCACTTTGTTGTTTTAGATATAAATTATATTACACTATGCCTGGATTAAAGGAAACAGTTAAAGAGGAGATGGTGAACTTCCTGAAATATTTAGTTCACCTTGCAATGTTTAGAGGCTTGATTTTGTAGGAAAGAGCAGACTATATGCTAAGTGATGAGGAGTAATTTTCCTGCACTAACCTCTTTCATTCTTCCCCTTCATCTGTCTTTTCTAGGCAGGACAGGGCTGTTTGCTGATCTCTTGCCCAGTTTTGCTGTGGAGATTATGCCAGGTACTCTGTCACCTAACACTTTATTTATCCATTCTTCTGGTGCTTTGTCTGTCCACTCTTTCACAGTGTCATGGGCACTCTTTCATTCCTAGATTGTACGTTCTCAGTTTTTAGGCTATTCAATCACAGCTTGCAAGTGGAAATTGGAAAGCGTGGCAAGGACTTTAGTACATTGATGCTGTTGTTATAAAGACAATTATTATTTCATACAGAATTGTTGCTTGTCACAGACAGTTTTACTGCTAGTTTTATCAATTGTACTCACATAAAACAGTAGCTCATGTTGCTCTTGTTTTGAGAGGTGTCTTCTTTCAGATGGTCAAAATTACTGGGTGTTATATTTGTGAATGTAGGCCTTCAAATGGATATAATGTTGTTTTTCTGGACCGATTGCAAGCGAGACATTCTAGCTGTTTTCTTTAAAAAAAATTTCAATTGTAGACCTAGCTGAAGCCATGTGAACTGGTCATCTCCAGCCTGGTGCCTTCTGGATGTATTGGAGCACAATTCCAACAACCTCCTAGCCAACATAGCTGAGGATGATGGGAGTTATAGTGTCACAGTCTGGAGATGAAGGCTAGGAATGATGGGAATTTGACACAACTAGAGGGTGTTAGATTGTTGAAATTTGGCATATGTCAGGGTGGGAATTGGGCATGTGGTTCTGTCAGGAAGGGGGTCTTGTGTGGCCTTTGAGCCCTCCAGCCTACCAAATCCAGAAACTGAAAAAAAGCTAGAAAATCTCCCCCCCCCCTTTTTTTTTTTGGCTAAAAATGGCATCTGGTAGGAATAACACTGTTTCAGATGCTCCAGTCTCTAAATAGCTAAAAGGCACTTTTAAAGGTGACTATCAGGGACTGGAATGTCACTTCTGGTCTCCCCCTCCTTCCCCCAAAAAGTGGCAGTGCAGCCTGTGGAGGGCCAGGAGGAGTGGAAAATGCCCTTCTGACCCTTGCTTCCATGCCTCTTGCTTCCATGATTGTCTGAACAAACCAGAGGGAGATACTTAGAACTGACCATGAAAGAAGAGTGAACAACTACTTTTTCCTTTGCCTAACCTAGAGTTTCCTTTGTACATACAAAGATGACACTGTGGAGCAGAATGTCAATTCTCTGTATGCTCTTAGTTTGTTCTAACCAGCTATAGGTAGAGTAAGCCTTAGAAGAAATATCTTCTTGTCTCATGCATGGAAGATGAAAATAAGAAAGGAGTATACAAGGTCAAGAATCACTGAAGGTCAATTGTAATCAACAAAATCAAGATTGGGCAATATGTGAGTCCCATACCACCAAATTCAGGTGTCATCCATTGTCAGCAGACATAACAATCTACTATTGAAATTTTAAAACATGGCATATGGGAAACATGTATCTTGTTTCAGAGCAGAGTTGGGTGTTTCTTTACTACAGATGTATCACCAACTTTTGATGATAGTGTGTGCATAGTCACTTCTGCCTTTGTGAAGTTCCCCATATCCCCAATCTATTATTATATTGGTTAAAGAGGCTGGTAGTGTAAATTGAGGTATTATTTAACAAGTTGTAACTTGATTTTTTTTATAAAGATGCAGATATTTATAGAAGTATATTATAGTCATACTATATCTGTTTACAAAAATAATAAGAAAAGAAAATCAAATCGCCCTTACATAAAATTTAGATTTCTCTGTACAATGAAAAACAAAAACATAATCCTAACACCTCATACTGTGAAGAAACGGAATATTGGAGCTGAACATCATCTTATATTTCAGATTCAATAATATTTCCATCTGTGCATTAATTTCAGATCAATTATCCTGAACCCAGAACAGGAGAAACATGCTGACTTCTCATAAAAGCTGTACATGGTTTCATCTTCTTTCTCTGAACTGACTAATGCTAATCAATTTTAACAAACTTACTGCTATTTGTGTTTCAAACAGCTGTTGCTCTGGTAATGGAGGTAAATTTATGCCACCAAGATGTAGGCAAAAAATTACAAATGATATGTCAGAGTTGTATGTACCTTACTACTCTATCTTTCAAAGTATGCAGTAATATCACCAACCTTTTGGTTTAGTAGTACTGT